TGCAAATCCCATCCACTTTGATCTGACTAGAACGAGAGGAGAGGGAAACAGCACAACTGGGATGGTGCTATGGACAGTTTCTAGGCTCCAAAAGTATTAGATTGTATAGAAAGAAACCAGAACTAGAAATCACGTTGCATACTGGGACACCACAGCTGTTAATTAAGACATAGCAGATGTTCTGCTTCATTCTTTAGTCAGGAAACAGTATAAGGCTGCAAGTAAAGCAGAACTTTGTGTCTGGATCCAAAACTCATTTTAGAAATGAGGCCTACCTGTCCTTTGACCTGTAAATCCATGAGAAGAAGACATTTATCTCTTCTCTCAGGAAGTTAACTGACTTAATTTTCATTTGCCCCTTTTGTATCCCCGAGATGATCCCTTTGTCTCCCAGAGAGCCATCCTTTTCTGGACTTTTCCTTTCTTATCTTTTTTTTTTTTTCCTTCCATACATAGGCACATATACACTCAAAATGCTTCTGCTATAGTTACCTGAGTCATGGGAGGGCTTATCAGAGAAACAGGAAATATGAGAGATTCAGCTTAGGGGACCTTGTGCAAGAGACCTGACAAAATTGAATTTAACAGCAACAGACCAGCATAGCAGGAGGTGTCAATAATGGCTGCAAGACTTGAGAGACTGTGTCACAGGTGAACATTACCTGTAAATCTCACCAGTGGTCCCAGCTGGAGGCCAGCTCTGAAATCTCAACTACTGCTCTCCATTTGAGGCAGGACTTCATGGTTCCATATCACATTCAACTTGGATTTCATATTTCTAGGAAAAGCAATGTGTTAAATTGCAGTGTCCAGGCATATTTTTTTATACTCCTCTGCATGAGTATTCAGTCTCTATTCCAGATCTGAGATTCCCTTACAGAGTTCTTTGTGGCTCTTGAGATGATGGAGATACAGCATTTATTTTACCAGAGTTCTCTTAGTCATCATTTGAATGCATTCTTATATCCACCTGATAACTACAACTTTGTCACTGGCTACAGACATATTGGTGAGAAATACTGAGCACATACACAGGTTTATATCTGTGAGAGGTCATTATATCTGATAAATTCTGTTTGAGGGACTTCAGGCATCCATGTAATCAGCCTGTGAGATAAGGCACAGGAAAAAGCAGCAGCACAATGACACAGCCAGACAGAACTGTGGCATTTCCTGGTGTTTAGTGGTTAATGTCAGCCTTTGTATTTGATTTCCCTTGGATATGTAGTTTGTTTGTGATTTTCTGTTGAGGATAACCTTTCAAAAGCCTAATCCCTTCTGCTTTGAAGCTGTGCTGCTTAGACAATAATTACACAGACACCATGAAATGTTGTTGGTGTCTGACTCTACATTAGTCCAATTCTATCACGTTATTCTACTTCCCTGTAACCAAGCTACCTTTAAAGTGATATATAAGAAAATTGTGAATAGCATCTTTCATTACTCCCTGGACTGGCATATTTTTTTTAGTTATATCCTATCTAGTTTGCAATTGGTTTTGAGTTCAGGGAACTTGGTTTATACTATGCAAGCATAAATTATTTCTTTCAAAATAGCTTTTTTTTCATTAATTATATGCTTTGCATGTGCTCATAGTTTAATCAATTAAAATCAATTTGCAAAAAAAAATGATGCCCTGCAGTCCAGGAAAGGCTATTTCTATATCAGTTCCAATCTTTAATTTTTAGCTTTTCCTTTTCTTGAAAAATTCTTTTCCACTGAAAATTTTAGTGGGCTTTACTCCATCCAGTATCATTAGCTGAGCAAATGTTCTTTCAAAGGCAATTATCTTTCCATGGAAAACTTCATAGCATTTTAGAAATATTTTCTGTTAATAGCAAATAATAGGGATTTTTGTGGCTCTGATTTGTTTTTCTTTTATAGATATTTTCATTTGCTTACTCTCCCCAGCTAAGAGGTAGATTTTTCCCTCTTTGGGGAAGGTTATGGCTTTGCTTGCTGCCTGTCTGACCCCTTTCCCCTGAGAATGTACTTCTTGGAGATCCTCACACCACAGGGTGCCCAGGTCTGTCCTAAGGGGTAGGAAAGCACAGATTTGAACACTGTAAATTCTGCAGACATTTGCATATTAAGGAGTCAAAACAAAGCAGAACCAAAGAACAATAAAAAAAAAGATACCACAAACATACACACATTCCCCCTCCCCCACCAAAAATAAAAAGAAAAAAGAGAGAGGAAAAATTCTTACATCCCTAAAAGTGCTTCTTAAAGCAAATACATTTGTAGTAGCCACTATCAGACAGGATGAGCACATCTCTTTTTCCTAGAAATCAAACTGTATAAATACTAATAAAAATGATGTAACGCTGCCACGGTTTTGCAAATAAAGTCTTTGTTTTCTCACTTCTTTTTCTCAAAATAACCCTCCTTCAATCCAGAGTCACATCCAATGCTATGCAAAATCAAAGGCACTTATACCAGTTTAGGGGTATCTTGACTTGGTGTGTGGATGAGTTTTGACAAATAAACATTTACAGAAAATGAAAGCATTGTACTGCAAATGTTGTCTGCATTTTCATGTTCACTAAGCCCTCTGAAAATGTGCCTTAATTACACAATAGACTTGAACATTTGTAGATGTTAGTGCTTCCTCACAAGTCATCTATCAAATAAACCATCTTTGCCCAGGTTTCACTTTCAATTCATCTCACCAAAGAATGCCTTAATCAATTCTAGTATTTTCCACTCAGTTCTACAACACAACAAAACAATGAATTATCAATGATGAATTCTCAAATATTCTGGTACTAAAATCTGTGTTCAAAATTACTTAACTAGTTAGCATACTTGTTAAAATTAAAAACTAATCATAAATAATATAAAAAAGACATATACCAGTATTATACTTCCACGAAAGATGAACAATGCAAAGTTAGATCCAGCTGAATGAATCAAGACAAGAGGGGTAGGAAAAGAAAAAATATTGTTGGAGGCGTGGAAGCATTTAATCTGCTCTTGCAAATTATTATACGCTTGCACAAGATTGGTCTTCCCAAATTTTCTCAATGTGAAAAGCCCAGAAATATAAAAGGCATGAACTTTAATCCAATGTATGGATCATGTTACCTTTTGCTTAGGGGCATTAATCCTGAAGCCACTTCCGTCTGACCTGATAAACAAATCCCCTAGAAACAAATCTACAAGAAAAATCTTGTTCCCTATACCAGCGTTCAGTAAGGAGATTTTAAGAGACAAAATGCTACTGTGAAGAATTGCATCAGTTAATCAAGGACTTGTTGAAAATTTGATTTAAAAGTATGTGACATATTCAATTAGCTATGTTGGTAAGTTTGATAATATAATTTTTTTCTGCATGTGTGTGTGTATTTCTGTGCTTTTTTTAACAGTGTATTTTCTTTACAAATATTTTGCTGCTGAGAGATTCTACTCGTGAAAGTAACATAGAAATACCAAAAAGAAATACGTAAATTTTTAGTTCTTTAAAAAAAAAAAAAAAGCATGTTAAACTGAAAAGCAAAAAAATTGTCCTATTTTTAATATAAGGCTTCCACTAAAGGAGGTCTTTAAACTTTTCTACTTCTGGAAGAGATCACTATTCACATGTATATCTGGAAACTGCATGTCAAGTTGCAAAATTCTGCCGTGAGAAGAGAGGATTACAAAAAAAAATAATTAAAATAATTTTTTTAAAAAACAATGAGAATGCCTGGCCGAACAACAATCAGTGAGACATGATTACATGTCACAAAATAAAAGTCTTGAAGTATTGAAAAGCAATAACAACAAATCTCAGAGCTATAGTATGCAATATCTTCATTCAAAAGGAGAACATAGTAGTAATTTCTCTTTATCATTCTGCAATATATTAAATGAGATTTTTAATAAGCATATGTATTAATTAGTTCTTACCTATTAAAGAGAAATTAATTGACGCTAATATATTTGTGGCTATTCACTGCAGTTGTGAAAGAAGCTAATGCTATGATAAAGATATGCTTTTCTCTCTGTAAGAATCTGAATTATCATCTTCTGAAGGTTTTGGGAAAAGCAATACTTTGAACTGGCAAACTTGCTAAGTTAACGTCTTTCCAATCACTTTGTAAATCAATCTGATGGAACTATATAATTAGATTTTTTAAAAATATATTCAATATGTGATATTCAATAATTCAAGAAAGAAGTCAACATAGATTTGCATAAACTAATTCTAATAAATGACAGTTCCCTAAAAAATCTATTCATGATTGCTAGCTTAAAGATTCCTCTTAGCAAATAAGCTAAATTAAAGAGCTTGAATTCATAATCTTCATTATTACTTGAAATGGTAGTCCAGTTTTAGAGAATATGTTGATGCTTCATGAATCAAAGAACATACAGTTATTTACTGATTAAGCAACAGATAAGGTACTATATAAATAATTTTCTTCATTATTTGATTACAACATGTAGATAATGTTTACTATAAAGTATTTTTAGACTGAAAAAAAGCGAGAGTGATGACACATACCTTACCTAAGTGTTAAATTTGTATTTACTTAAGAATTCAGCAAGAAATTAGTATTTGTATACAAAAAATTTTGCAACAAGTCCTGAGAGCAAACGACTTCACTTTTATCCCACATACAGCAGTGCTACAATTTCATTTATTGATGGGGGAGTGGCAACAGGAAATCAGGTGGCTGCAGTACCAGATGAGCAGAGATTCTAAACAATTACTCTTTACCATGTGACGAGTTCTACTGACTGATGCTGACGCTGCTGGCACACTCAAAGTTAGCAGCTGTTTAATCAGCTTGCCAAAATTGGTCCTGGACCTGTTGAAACGTGCATTTAAGCAGGATTCAGTGCAAAGGTAATTTTTTCTGTACTAGTGCATATACTTACCTTGTTGTGTTTGGATATATTTTCCATTTGCATGTTTTCCCTCTTAAAAATTCACATGGCAAGTTTGTAAGAACTGTTTCTGATCGTGCTTCCTAGGTATGCATAGATAAAAATCTTCATGCTGCAAATTAAGAATGCAACAACCAAACTCTGGTTATTGTCCAGATCTGGTCAAAGAAACCTGCGCCAGCGTGGAACCTCTGGACAGGGAAGCTGATCTCCACAACACAGATGCTGCTGTGTCTGAAAGCAGCAGCCCAGAAGATGTCTTCAGCTCCTCTGAGATGCAGACAGTACCAGTTTGTCTGGACACCACCGTGCCTCCAGGGAACTCCATCCTCAGACGAGGTCACAGGGAGTCTTCACTGCTGAGGCTTCCGACAGAGCAGTGCCTTGGGATCCACCACACGCCTTTCCAGTTTGACCGTCATGCTCGGGCCAGAATTTCCACTTCTCCAACTTTAAGGCGTCTAAGGATGGCCTCTGCCTCACAAGCACTGACATTTCCAGACTGTTCTGACACAGCCCAGCTCAGGAATCAAAAGGAATACACCGGCTCTCTCCACCACATTTGTAAGAGTCCACCTCGGTGCATTACAATTTCTTCATTGTCGCTGCCTTCTTGTGTCCATGCAAAATTATTGTCATCCAAAGCCAAGTCTGAGAGAGCTATAGCAGCTCTGCAGTCTGACCGACCCAGGGCAAAGCTTCCAAGCCAAGAGGATCCTCTCAGCAATGGCAGTCCCAATGAGCCACCCAGAAACTCTTGGAGAGCCAACTCTGCTACGCTTCCCACAAGACTCTCCCGCCCAAGCCCTACACTTTGGGCAGGTGTCCAGGTAGGAGGAATAGGAGGAAAAAACCTCTTTTTCAATCTTTCTTGTTCAGTGTTGGTCCATCATGGGCCAGTGCTCACATAAAACCCCAGTTCTTAACCTGAACTGCAAATTGGGTCGTGATCCTTTAATAGCTCGCTCCTGTACCTGGCCATGCTTTCCCACCTGTGTCCATTCACCCTGGTGGGCCAGTACAACTGTTGGTGGGGATACAGAAGAACAAGACTAAGTAATTAATCCTGTTCAGGATTGGGTTTTAGAAGACTATTTTCTTTCAACCCACTCTTTAACCCTTCAGCAGGATTATTGCTTAGACAGGGAAGTTCTCTCTTCTGTTGTACTGAATGGAATTACTAACCCTAATAAAACCAAGAATTTAGTTGGTTGAGTCAAATTTAAGGTCTTCTACTACCAAAGGAAGAGGTACCACTCCCTCTGTTTATTTCCACTTACTCTGCCACTCTCTCGCACCCCTCCCTTTTTATGTCCAGCTACATAAGCAAAGAAGCAATTGTGCAATCTCTTCTGAAAAAATAAAAGAAGCCCTGGTGTCAGCCTCAGTAAAGAGAAATAAACAAGGGAGGAGCAAATCCTGCATCTTTCAAGGGCAGGAAACTACAATTCAGCTCTCCACAAGGACAGAAGGAGAGGCTTTTTGTACTAGACAGGTTTGCTACTAGATCTGCTCTCAAAGACCTTCCACTGTGTGCAGAGGCAGTTAAATTCACTTGCTTGACTCTGTCCTTTTGCAAACCACCTACACACGCATTTTACTGAGGGTGGATGGTGTCAAATAGGTGTAGAGTTCTTCACTAGCTGGTTAGCTCTGCACTACAAACCAAAAGCTATTTTCCTCCTCCCCCCACCCCCTTCAAATATGGAAAACATTCTGGATATCAAATGAGTTCTCCTTGTTCCACAATAGTGAAATTAATTAGCCTATGCCCAACCTATTACATTATTATTAGCATATTTCCCTTTGCAAATGAGTTCTTTTTTCACCAAAAAAAAAAAAAAAAATCAGATTTCTTGCTTGCTTTCTGACCAAGTAACTAAGAATATCTCACTTGCTTTCAGGAGAGTGGACTGCCCATGCAAAGGTATGCACGTATTTATTTTATCTGATTCTAAGCTTCACTCTCCTACATATTTAATGAATTTGTTTCACTCTAAGACAAAACTGAACATTGAGTCTTGTATAAATAACTCAATCTTAATTTGTAGATTTGCTATGTGAAATGCCTGTCACCAGCTCACTAAACTTATTAATGAGATTTTCTTTCAAAGGTAGCTCTCTCCCTAGCATGTTTAGCTACATTTCACTCAGTATTTCATCCAGATCATCAGGGAGCTTTGCACTAGGAGCTAACTGCCAAGAGGTCCGGTTGTTTGGCTTAGGAGTGTCAAATTTCAGCTTGAAGAATGTGAAATATCTCATAATCTTGAGTGGCATTCTTCAAAAGTTTGTGAAAGGGACAAGGGACCAAAGGAGTTAGAAGAACAGCTCAATATTGTTCTTACACATGAGCAAAGAAGATCCAGGACTGCTACTGGAGAGGGAGATTGTTAATCCTACAAACTAAGAAGAGTACATAGAATACATGGATTTTATAAATTAGTGCAGACAATATAGAGTGTTGCATATCATAGACTTGTGCAGTGAATTGTGTCAAGGTCTTGGAAACAATTATCAGAAAGCAAATGTTCTATTAGAAATTTTTTTTTTTATCAAGATATATTTCTTTAAGATGTTCAAATGTTTACAGAAGGGAAGTTTTATTTTCTCCCCACACAACAAGGAAGCAGGAGATAGTACCTCCATTAATAACCACCCCTCTCTCATTGATGGAGTAGTGCTCACTGCACTGCGTGGTCCCCTCAAGGATGTTTAGGACTGGGTGGCTTGAAGCAGACTGATGTAGTTTAGGATGTATGTGTCCTTACACAACGCAGTCCCCTAGATGAGATTCAAGAGATGTGTACATGCATTTGAAATTACATGTTCACTGTAGAAGAGGCCTCCTAGATGTTCTGAACTGTTACAATTTCCAACACACTCTTTAGCATTTTGAATTTACAATGGAGATAGAGAGAGAAGGGAAGGGAAAGATCTTTTCATCTGGATGTGAAAACAAATGATCTGTACCTTTTATGGGAAGAGTCTGCTCTGATCCAACTCAAAACAGGAATACATAAACATATCTCACTGTCAGCATGAAGATTTGCATGATGTGTTACTAACTATAGTGGCTTCAAGAGGGAAGTAACTATATGCCAACTAGAGTATTGGCCTTGGACTTCTATCCAGACACCTTTTAAAATCAAGAAACCACCACCCAAGGAAACAATCCAAGATATTTTCCATAGGCACCGGCAGGAAAGATTGCCAAAGGTGGTTGGGTTGATGCATTATGAATTCTATCTAGATAAATATTAGAATGTGCAAAAATATATTAAAAAATGCACCAGTTTCTGCTTTAAACATTTTTTGTCAGATTTAATTTGGTCTGGGTTAAGCCTGTATTCAGCTCCTCCTTTATTAAGACCTTTAATCTAACTCCTTAACAGCTAATCCCTTCTTATCACAACCAGCAAAAAGTGTTGACATCTCAGATTATTCTCTCCATCTAGAAGCACATTAGAACAGTTGGCAGCCCTTTTCCAAGGCTTACTTACATATTGTCCTGGGTAAAATCATACCTCTGCCCTTCAGTTTTAATGAACATCTCTTCTCCCTTTTCCCAAGCTGTACTTTCAAAACACTTCTTTAATGCACTCATTTCAAACAGCCTTCCCCCACACAGTCCTCAGTCAAGAATGCCAGCACATCCCTGTCAGCAAGGTAACTTGCTGAACTGATGCTGTTTATAAAGAACCATCCAAAATAAATAAACAAAAAGGGCAGCCCAGACAGAGGTATATGTGGTGGAGAGAAGGTGAGATGCTAAACCAACACTGACAAAGAAAACATTGATAAAACTAAATCTCAGGTTTACTCTGATCTCCTTTTCTCCTTGTACCGTTCAGCATTATCAGAGACTGAGTGGAAAACTGCATTGCACTATTTCCTACAGCAAATCATCTAATGAAGAACCTTCACAGTATCTGCCAAGACAGCTCATATTCAATGCCTTGGAGGAGCTGGCTCATCTATCTTGAAGTACTCCCATTCCTCTTTTAATATTTCACACAGCTGTAAAGTGTCACAAGGTCACAGAACCACAGAGTGGGTGAGGTTGGGAAGGACCACTGGGGCTTGTTACAATCTCTCTGCTCAGGCAGGGACATCCTAGAGCACATTGCACAGGATGGCTTCCATTATTCTAAACCTAACTCCTTATGCAGTCATAGAAATATTTTACTCTTGACAATAGCTCATTTTCCATGCTAACTTTTTGAGTCAGGGAGTCCAAACACCCTCCCTGAGTTGGTTGGGAAAAAAAATGTCACTGCCTGGCAGTTATCTCAGTACTGTGACCACCCTATAATATTTACCTTAGTAACATCCTCTGTTGCTTTTATTTGCCTCTAGTGGATATTCCTTCAAGTAATATATCTGCTTTTTAAGTAAGGTGATCTATATAGATGTCTGTTCCCTGGGATAGCTAATTAGGCTAAGATTAGGGACATATGAAGATACTTTCTGTGCCTTAGAAATAACTATATGCACAGGATATTTATTTTGCCAGACCATGACCTACTTCAATGTCTTTAGTAATTTTCTATAACTTTGCCATGTAAATCTATGACATTATCACGTTTTAAAAAACAAGTGGATTTTAAGAACAAATTATTACAGATGATATCCCCCCAGATGCCTGAGTTTGTTCCTAAAGCACAAGCATTTATTTCATTCCATCACTGCAATCCACTGTCCCCAGTAAGCGAAACCAACAAAAAACAAAGAAAAAGGCAAAGCTACAGAGTCTAAAGACATGAGAAGATACTAAAATATTGCAGACTTAATACCTAGTAAACTTTACTACATAACACTTCAGTAATTTAATTTCTCCAGAAGAAAAACAACATCTGATGTGTCTGTCTACAGCCTTCAGGCCAGGGAACCACAGAAACGTGTGCTTCCATCTCTGAAGCATGAGTACATAATTTAGACATGGAACCATTAACCAGCCCAGGCTCATCAGATTGCAAAGGTATATTGTACCCAAGTGATCTTGCCATGCCCCCACATTTCACAGGCTTCTGCACCTATGTGAAAAGCTTGTTTAGCCATATGTGTGCCTGATGTCCAAGGCCTTTTGATCTGGGTAAACAATGTAATTTAACTCGGTTACAGTGACTCTGTGCTTCCATTATTAGTCTTCATAAGCTGCAGCTTCAAATATATTGTGAAAATAGTAGTAGGCTAGATGCTTTAAAAATCAATAATATACTGGTAAAATTTTACTGTGAAGCCAACCTGAAATAAACCTCCTCAATTTCCTAGTACAGGATTATCTTGGTACTATATTGTAGTACCTGACTGGTATAACAGCCCAGCTGCCACAGAGGTTGCATCATTGAATCACTAGAGGTTTCAGTGGCATCTTAATACAATCATTACCAACACTGAAAATTTGCATTGGGTAGCACTCAGTGCACATCTCAGGAAGGTACTTCTGAGAGGAGCACTCCTGTGCCTTGCACTGGTATGGGCTTGCAGGCAGCCAAGAAACAGACCCCCCACCCAATAAAGCTCTTAAACCACATACTGAGGGTTCCATTTCATGAGAAACCACAGAGTTTCACTGTAAACCCTAAAGCCAAATAAATAAATCCTATATTCTCCATTCAGTAGGACTAGCAGAAAAACTTTCAAAGAACTCCAATATTGCAAATTCTAATTTATTCTAATAAATGTAACCTTCTCAAGATGTAGTTTTTAAGCCTTGATATGTCCATGGTTCAAGTGTTAAAGTCCCAGGCCTGGCCCTTCTGATAGCCTACAGACCTCTCTTGTTAAAAGCAGCTTTCATCTAGACCATTCAATTGTCTAGCTAAAGCAATTGCAAGTAGTGTCACCATCAGGAAATAAAAAAGGCACAATCTCCATGTCTTACTATATGGATCAAATCCCAGTTCTGTACCTCAGAGCTCATCTGGCAGTTGATAAGATGTCAAGTAACGTTTCATGCACTTAAAGGAAAAAATATACCTGCCAGGTTTCACATCAAATGTGGCAAATGGCTAGATATTCACAGTAAGAGAACTGCTTAGACAAAAAACCTCAGTAAGAATCTTGTTTAACTGATCAAAAATACCATGCACAATAAGTGGTGACTGAAAAACAGAATTTTTATGTATGTACATGTACTTTGTGCCTCCTCCCTCAGCTACTGAATTACTGACCCTTTGAGCCCTAATGCAGTATTCATGTATCAATTGAAGGCAACACAACAGCAGCTGCAGACAGCAGTCCCTCTGCAGCATATACTAACACAATTCATGAGGTGTCAGTGTGAATTATTAGCAAAATACAAAATGTTTTTTAAAATGCACCAACAGTTTCTGCATGTGAATTCAAGCAGCCTCTGGCACAAACATCCTGCTGGATACCGAATGCCTGTGTCACTTTTCTTAATGGATCTAGATCTTGGACAATGTTCTCCATTAGGAACAACAATGGTTGGAAAGAGACATTTGTTTTTGATCTGTAGGGCCACTGAGTCATATTACATTCTAAATATTTGAAATAGCAGAAAAAAATGCCAAAAGTTAGAAAGGAAACAGCACAAACTAGCCAAAAGGTTAAATAATTTTTTAAAAACCCAACATTTTAACTGTTTCACTAGCGTGCTGTCTTTTCTTGAAATCACCCGAGTTACAGGAAGGTTAAAAGTAATAAGTCACATGTCAGCTAAAAACTGTATTTAATCGATCCTTTAAACTCCACTGCCAAAACATAAATTCTAAAATCCCAACTCACTTTTTGTCCAACATCAGAAAAAAACAGGAATTTTCAATTTAAATGCTCTAATTACTTATTATGTGAGGCAAGCCATGACCATAAGAACTTCGACCTCAGCAACAATGTGGAGTTGGAAAGACAATTAGGTATTTTTTGTAAGTCACTGAAATTCTCTGCTCGTTGCTCTGTTAAGACATGATGTCATAGCCCCTGTGGTTTGGTTTTTTAGCTGATTCCCTCCTGGCCCAGCAAGGAGCCCTCCAGCAGTTTCCTGAGCAGCCTCCAGCAGACAGACATGACCTGTGCTGCTGTTGCATCTCGCAGATCAGCCGAGCGCAGGCGAAGCTCCCTGGTCGTGAGCCTGCCGGGACTCGAGGTGTTCCCTGGAGACCTGCTGGTGTCAGACAGTGCCATGGACTACCTGCCCTACTCATCCTTCCTGCTCAGTGCAGGTCAGGCCCAGCTGGGGTTTGCTCCTCTGAGCCCAGCAGGAGCCGGGACGGGAGTGTGAGTGTGGCATGGGAGGGGGGATGTACACAATGAGAACGAGAGGAGCTGCAGCCTCTGCGGGGGATCCTGTGACCCCACACCAAAATGACTGCATTGCTAATTTTAGAATTCATCTCTTTTTTTTTCCTGCCTTTTTCCCCCTGCATTTTACCGTTTTACAAGTAGATGAGAGGGTAGGACACAGATCACATTGCTCCTCCACAGGCTAGAAGCAACCAGAGCCCAAGCCAGGTTCTCCATCTGGAAGCAGCTGAGGTACAATTTCCTACCTCCACAGCTTCAGGAAAAGCAGCCCGTGCTGCCCTTTGCAGTAGTGCTCTGATCACAAGGGTAGCAAACCCCACTCATGGCTAGAGGTTGCTCACAAGACATTGCAAAACTGAAATGCTGATCTGCAAGCAATTTCCACAAATAGCTATCAGAATATAGAATAGTGAATATAGTAAAGTGTGTGGTGTGATTGACGGGGACCCTGGTGGCCAGAGGTCAAAAAGTTTCTCCAAAAGCAAGTCACCCAAGGTCACAAGCAGAATTTTCATGACAGCAATAAGTCAGTCATTTCCAGAATGGCCAAGACCTTCAAAATCCAGAAACGCAGAGTTTTGACTGTGATTCCCTGTCACATACCTGAAGATGGGTGTCACATAAAGAAAACCCTTTCAGATTTCTTGCTGAACAGTCATTCCTCACAAGTCACCAGTGCATTCCTAAATCTAGATCCCCAGCTTTCTCACCAAGGACCACAAATTACAGTTGGCCTCACTGTGCCAGCCCTGTGACAGATCTGAGGCTTAGGGCTCCTACGATTGTTTATTCACTGGAGATTTAAATACCTGCATAACTCCAAGTTTTCATAATGAAAAGGCATAGACTAATCCTTGCTTTAAAACATCTTCAAAAATTGGCTTGAGGTGTGATGATGTTCCCAAGTAAAGAATTGGCAATCACATAGTGATCACCTGCAACAAGTAGGAGTGTTTAGCATCATGCAAGATCCCACCACAGATAGACATAATTCTTGCTGGGAGAAATCCAAAAAGCTTAATGGGTTTTAAGTCTGGTGCACAAACTGCCTAAACTCAAGTATTAAATATGAGCCAAATAGAGTATATATAGTCTATCAAGCTACATATATAAATAATTTAAATAAGTTTTCTTTTTTATTGTTTCCTTACTAATAACATTCATTTTACCCATTAGAGTCCAAAAAGTCAAGGTGGCCATTTGCCAAAAGAGGAGTCGTGAGTATTTTTATCATTTTATTTTTCCTTGCACTGACCTTGCCTTCTCCCACAACTAACCTGGGTGAAAATAGCTTCTTTACTTTCCTGTCCTTGGAGAAAGGCAGCCAGCAGGTGAGCTGAACTCAGAGGTCTCAGCCCTCCCTAGGACTGCTTGCACATTAATCTGTAACACAGATTGAGTGGCTGCAATGCAGCCATTGCAGGTGATGCACATGAAAACACAGACAGGGACACTGCTCCCCATCCCTGTGGGTGGTGGGAGAAGAGGAGTCCTTGGCACCAGGAGGGCAGAGTGGGATGGGCAGTGAGAGCAGGGACTCTCATTCAGGAAGGGATCCAAGCTTTACCTATAAATACAGTGTTCCAGGACACTTTCTTAGTCCTTTCCTGTCCTCATGGCTGCCCTCACCCTCACCAGTGAAAGCACAACTTAGTGGATTTCCTTATCTAACACAATTCCTTGTCTTTCCCATTTATGAAAACTTTCACTTACTAAGGTATCTGAATTTCCTTTCTGTGCAGTACTGTTCAGCACTCCAAAAATTACTTACAAGTGTCTTGATAGCCTTTTCTAAGGCCTAAGCATGTAATTAAGAACAGTCTCTTCCCAATTGCAGAACCAAGGCAAGTACTCAAGTTAATAGATGCAAGAATTCCCTCTTGATTTGATAGCAGTTTCATAGCATTTGAAGGACAATGACCTAAAACTGAGGATTTTTAAATCCAGCAAAATAATTTAAATCTGCAATAGAATGCATTTGATATTTAGACAAAAGTGATTGCTAAGACTATTAAATGTCATAAAATTTAATTCACGAAGATTCATTTGCTGGTACATGAGTTCAGTGTGCATATATATTAACTGCATTATTTCTTCTGCTCCATTTCAATCTATCTTTCAAAATTAGGAGCTGAACTTAGACCCTAAGTTTCAAATATTATAATCAAACACATATTTCAAAATTGGCTTGAGTTCAGTGCCTAAAGTTCAGACAATAGAAATCCATGAAGTGGGAATATACTGTTCCAGAGAATAGATAAAACTTAGCCAAACACCTTATAAGTCTGTGCCCACAGCACTAAATTAGAGTTCATAAATAATGTTTAAATTTTTTACAAGACCTGAATAAATAAAGCCAAAACAAAAGCAATTGTTTTTATTTCATGGTCCCTCACGCAAACTCATGCTGTTCTTTCAGCTTTCCAAAAGCTCATTTTACAGACACTACTCTGCAGATGACCAAGGGAGATTTTTCCATATGTAGCTCAACAAATTAAAAAGAAATAAATAAACAAATGCATAAATTTGTGTACTTATGACAGGATTTCAACTATGAATCTGTTTTCCCATATCACTGACAGTGCTAAGGGGAGCAAAACGTTTCATTTGTTCTGTCTTCCAAGGGTAGCCTGTTGCCATACCAGCGATTTGCCCTGTCAGAGACTAGTATATTAGTAAATAAGATCTTACACATCCAAACCTGAGGCATTTACACACCCCACCCACAGCTACAAAGAAAGCTGCCATCACTGCCTTGTCTCTATGTAGAAGAGCCTGGAAATATAAAGAAATAACTAATTTAGGGGCAAACTCCTTACAGATTAGGGCAAGGTTACAGAGCTGAGTAAACTTCTTAACAGTCTTTAAAACACAGTATGAATTGGGGTGGTTTTTTGTCATTCCACAGGGTAAAGACAAACAGAAGCAAGCATCTGATTTGGAAAATTGTCTTTCAACTGTTAAGATCATAGACTGCTGCACAGATGAATTTTTCTGCTTTAAGGTACCAAAATACTCAGTATACTGTACCAAGGATACTTAAGGATGGAAGGAGGAACTTTGTATTCTTTATAAGCTAACATTTTCCAGTTCATTAATCTGGATATGAGACTTTTCTGTTAAATTAATGCATAGGTATATGGTATGTTTTTTGTCATTTGAAATGGAGGGGCAAGTGGGAAACTGAGGCTTGCTGAGGGCTCCTGCCAGTGTCTAACTTACATATAGACATCTGACTTTGGAGCAGGCCCATAATGTAATAGTGGCCACCTTAGGACTAAGCAAAACAATTTCCAAATGACTATAAAGACCTAGTCCTTTGGTACCTTGATTTTATCATCCAGAAAATGAGAAGATATCCACTCAAGAGCAGCAGAACAGATCAAATTCCTTAGCATTTGCAATCTTCCCACTAATTTTTGATAGAGCATACCTAAACATAGACTATCATATTGTGTTGCTTTCAAATTCAGTGTGTTTGTATTGTAAGTATTTTAGAGAAGAATGGCAGATTTTAAAATATTTTAATATTTATATTAAAGGAAATTTTAAGCTTTCAGAAGAAAAATCACTAATAATGGTAGATGAGATTTATTTGAGTAAATAGGACATAGATTCTTTTTGTAAGGTCTGAAGCAGCTGATGCAACAATTGGTGGTTTTCTTTCTTCTTCAACCAATAGAGTAAATCTTGGCATGAATTTATAAAAGAGCAACAGACTGAGCAGAAAGATGTCAACAGTCCGTTAGAAGTGGAAAAAGAAGCAGCAGTGTGGGAACTTTTCACAAGTGAATGCACTTACTTTCTGGATCATTTGCTTGTTCTCAAGATGGTAACGTCATATTTCACTTTGCAAAAATAATGAAACATTATTTGTTCTGCTGTGACAGACACAAAGCCACCTGAAACCTCTTAGAGGTCTGTGGGAGAATGATTTAAGCATCTTGCTTTTCCTCCCATCTTGCCTGCTTATCCTTTTTCCATAGCTCCCTTTTCTATGTTTATGATGATATCTCTTCTTCTAAACATCACTTTGAGTGATGCAATCTAGTGCTTTGCAATTACCATCTGACTGCAGAGCCTTCCAGGATATTCAATTGATATTCCATTAGTCCTCTCACAAACACTGTACTGAAGCCATGCTCCAAACAGCTATTTCTGTACTGGACTATTCCAATGGCTAATGTTGCTAGTATGCAACATTATATTTGTCATTTAACTTCATATAGACCTGTGGTTAGATTATCCTGACTGGAGCATGAAAACCTCAGAATTTAGCAGACCTGTAGTTTTAATGTTACATGAAAACTGAAAACAACTCCTCTCCCAAAAACTCTATATTACCTCCAACACAGTGAATTTTAAGAGCTTGAAGTATGGACAGGAATATTACACACTGTTACAAGAAAAACTGCGCTATTTATATTCATCACACATCAAAAGTTAATGTACCTATTTAAAAGGATAGAAGCTTACATAAATATTTTCTTATTTTTCTCTTACTTGGCACAGACAATTTGTGATTTTTTTATGAAGTCAAAGAAAAGAGATTTTTGAAACATTTTTTTATGTTGCTAAAAATTTAGCCTGGACAATTCAAGAACTACTGCAAAGTAAAGGAAATAAATAGAGAAGTGGGCTGAATTCCTTCTTGGTGGGGCAGAACAGGAAGGGACAGAAAAGAGGATAACAGGACCAGCTATTGGTTCAAGGCAGGAGAAGAACATCCTTCTTTCTATACACTTTGTTTAGAAATCTGAAAAGTTTAAAGAGTGGTGAATACTGGGAAGAAAGATGATAACAGCAAGTGTGCAGGCTCCCTGTGAGTCTGATGTAGGAACCCACAGACAGGCCTTAGCCAGCCCTGCATGGCCCACAAATGATGAACTATTCAGTCCATGCTAGCATTCCAAACTCTCCCACTAAAGAAAGAACCCATTGCACTTGGGTTAAAGACAGTTTTAAAGACACCTGGTTACTTCCAAGTATAGAAATATTCCACTGATTTTAATGAATCACCACAGGGAGCTTTAGGACCACCATAAATCCCCTTTAAGCTCTCAGGACAACCTGGTCATGGGTAACTAAAGAATTACACAAGGCTAAGCAAACACTCTCACTAGCTATTCAGTCTTGGCACCTGGGTAACAGGTTTTTTTCATTATGCTTTATACACATAAAAAAAAAGGAAAATCTACTCAGTAACCTATAAATTTTAAGTCTTTTTCAGATTTAGGTCAGATTCAGTACACTCAATAAGCTTAAAAAAATACAAAATCTTAAACAGTCAATAAATACACATGCAGTTTTCACTCAATACAAGTTAATAAAACAATTCAAAGAGATGAAAAACCTCCACAGGATGGCTACTTACCTTAATCCAAGAATATCTTTTTTCCTCATAGTAACTCTTAACAATTTAGATAGCAGCAGATGCATGGGGTAGGAAGGAAAGCATTTAGAAAGGTCATAGAAATCTGTAACTGTGACTCTGATGCTACTAAGTCCTTCACGCAGGGATCTGCAGGGGGCTCATTTGCCCCTCTCCTGCCCAAGGGCACAGCAGGGACACAGCTGCCTGCATGGTAACCACAGAGAAACCCCAGAGACATCACTCACACCCTCTTCTGCACAAAACCCAATATTTAACCTTCAGGCAGATCAGGAGACTTTTCTCCCAATGCCATCTTCTGCCGTCCCTAAACCAAATAATCCTTTCATATGAATTTCAATAAAAATGTTATTTTCAGGGGGGAAAAAATTTATTGAATTGGCACAAACAGTAAATAACATTGATTTGTTCTGGTTTTAAAGGTATTTATGAACACTCTAAAATACCTCCAAAATAATGAATTTCTCTTGGATGTGGATTTGTGGAGACTTTTTGCAAACTTAGAGGAGTTAAACAAGGTGAGTAGAAAAGGAGAAGTGTTACTTAGATCAGAAATCAATCAGCCCAGTAAAAGAAGACAACAAACCAAAAGCTTCTATTTAGTTTCAATGCTCACATTTGGAACTTAGTTCAAATAATCTATCTTTTCTTCCTTTCTATGTGGTATATCAGTGAGAGTCAAACATCACCAATGCACATCATTCTCTTGTATCTCCAACTGAAGATGCATGGCATTTTAAACATGGGGAGAGCTCATTTGGCAGTTGTTTCTGAAGTAAACACAAGTTGGAGACTAATTGTCACAAGCAGCGACCTTTTAAAAGAGATTAAGAGAAACTATTACCCAATCCTTACACCAAAAGAGGAAGCATGGCAAGTTCCCTTTTGCAAACAGATGGGCACAGAGACTTCACTATCTATTCTGCCACTCCAAAAGAGCAAGTTAAAACAAAATGCTGACCCCTTCTGTCCAGCTGAGGTTTCCCTTGGCATGTGTGTAAGGATCTCCTCCACAGAGACTGGATGCTCTGTGTTCACTCACTACTTATTCTGCTCTGGAGGGAGGCCACAAGGCTTGGCGATGATGTGCTCCAGCTCTTTGCTGCTTTTGGCCAGCTCCTGGGAAACCATTTGCAGCTCCTGAAAGTTAAAAACCCCTAGGACAAAAATAGCCTTCACATTGCTTTAGAAACAGAATAATTTTTCTTTGCTTGGGGGCCCTTTTACAGGACACCTCACCCTTCATTGTAAAGTGAATTTTTGAAAGAACTCTGCAGCTGTCTTAATTGAATAACTACTCACAATCACATCACACGCCCTAAAGCAGCTGCTGAGTTCCATTTATTTCCCTTACTGCAATTCCCTTGCCTTAATACTGAATCCCTTCCTTTTTAGCCAAAACAGGAAAACTGGGAAAGGTCTTCAAAGTAGAGACACTTAGCCAGAACTCAAACACATGAGCAAGGTACTGCAGCTCAGTCACAGCCCTCACATCTGGTGAGCTACTGAATGACTGACCAGTAGGTTTGGAGATACAAGGAAAAATATTTTTAGTTGACAGGTTCCACCTTTGGCTTATTGTGGACTAAGACTGTACATGCAGGCAACTACTAAAGTTGAGCAGATATATGGTTGTTGATTCCCTGATTCTTGTTCAAATAAGGGAGTGGGATATATTGTTGTGTTTCACTTAGATTTGAACTTGGTCATGTCTTGAGAGAATTATCTTATAAAGGTCTTGCTTTACTTCCTAATTTTATTTTCCTTATTGATGAGGATAATAAATGATTGTTATGAATACTTAAAATATTCATTAAATGTAGGAGAAAGAAGCTGCCCTCAATGCCTTTGGTGCCTTTTTTCATACATTTTACAGTATGCATATCTTCTTGACAGCAGGCTGAATCCATGAAAAAATGCATGTTGGAAAATTGTAAAGATCAAAATTAAAGAATGAGCATTATCCTATAAGCATCCTTACTTCCATAAATACACCAAACAAAGCAGTCCGCAGCTACTACAGCCTGTAGCAGTATCACAGTGGATTGATGTGCCCTTTTGACCTAACATTTGGCCAACAGCTTAGCCCAGTCATGGATTTGTGTGAAAATAGTGCATTCAGGATGAAAGTGTGGGCTTAGGAGCAGGCCTGCAGCCCCATCTGACTGATAAGGCAGGCACTTTTGAATCCAATATAAACATGCAAAGTTAACTCATGGGGAATATGAGAGTTTTTGGAGTATTTTATAAATACTTCCTTCACCTTCAATTGTATGAAACAATCTCAAACCATGAAAGATGGTGTCTTCCTCCAATGACCATGAAGGCTTCCTTAACTGTCACAGCTCTGTCATACACAATCACTGTTTTCCAGTGGATATCATTTACCCATTGTCATTTTTTATTTCAATCCATGTTAAATACAGCTGCTAGCCCAAGACAAGTATAATGGACTAATCTTGTTTCAAAGCTTTTGTCATCAGGCATTATCACAACATAAGTGTGTATTTGTATTTGTCTTAGCTTCTGACTCATTAAAGCTTTCTGGGCATAATTCAAAAGATAGTTCTGGCAATTTTAGAGATAAGTATAGGCTCCCATTACACTTGGAGCCTTCAGAGAGGACAGGGATGGGAAATAAAGTTGCTTTAATCTTAACTTCAAATCACTGATGCTAACTTACCTCTTTTTTTTCCCCCTTACTTAGATAAGTCACAATTTTCTGAAAACATTTTTTGAAACTGTGAAGAAGCGTATCAGCAAGTCAGACTCTCCTATGGATTTCAGCTCTGTACTCAGAATGGTAACATAATTACAAGTATTCTTGCTTTTAATACAAGCAGCAGACCATTTATCATGGCATACAGGTGCTCCAGAGCAATCAGCTCAGTCAAATCCATGCCATCTGTCATGGGCAGTTTGGTCTCAGCCTCAGGTTGCTCCTATCAGAAGGATTTTATTCATTGGCATGTTTGAAGCAGTCATGGAAAGATGCCCTGTATGTGGAATCAAATGTGGAAAGGTTTTCCCTTCCTGGGGAACAGCAGCCCAGACTCAGGAGACTTTTCCACTGGCAGAGGCAAGCTTCCCACTTTATGGAACATGTTTCCCTGAGACCAGATCCCAGCCCCATCACTGCCTCCTTCCACTCCTTCACACCAATCATCCCTTACTCCATGGACCAGACCCACACTTGTTTATAATTGCTTAATTAAGAGCTCATTGGGGTTGAAATTACACTTTGGCCTGTGTCTGTTAAGCAAGAGGGAGGTGCAGCCACAGCTATCCTGCCACTGCCAAGCACTGCAACCCTTTTGGTCAGTCTTGTGTGGTAAACAAGGCAGTTGTCTGAACAGCAGTCTAAAGCAGCTCTAATTCCTGCTCAGCTCCCATAATGCTTGTAAAGTTGGAAATATTAATGAAGACAGAAAATCAATTGACTGACCAGAACCTTCTCTAGGAGTAGAGGCCAATGGAAAACTTCTGGGAAATACTAAAAGACCCTACCTCAGCATTAAGACTTTTAACAGAGAAATTATGGCTAGAGCTTGGTTTCTTGCCCCTGTGACCTGACTTCAGGTGTTCTTATTGAAAATGTTTGTTGGACAGACAAAATGCCAGACAAAGCAGCATTTTATCATGCATGACGTTCAACATCTCCAACATAAATGAGGCTATCCTGTTATCCTGTTATTTCTAAGAGCATGCTCAGATATAAAATACCATGCTACATGAAGTTATCAAAGCTGTTTCAGAAATAGTGGGTTTCATCTTCAACTTCCATATGAATTTCACATCATTTATTTCTAATGAGAACTAAGTCTGTGTCACACCTCTGCAGAGCTATTTAAAACTGTACTCCCATGCATTAGTGAAGCATTGTTTTAGTATTTTTACTACTTTACAGTTTTATTGCTTTTTAAACTGTCCTTTACTTTTTTAATTCCCCCTTTCCCCATTTTCCTTGGTACAAGGAAGTCTCAGATAAAATGTACATTACAAACCCAAAACTCCTGTTTCTCCCTTTGCCATGATATTTTTCTTTCTTGATAAATTTCTAAATTTTTTCTGCAGTTTTTCCAGGGTGACCTCTGCCAGACACACCAGATTTATTGTCTTAATTATACTTCTGCTGTCTTCTACTTGGAAAAACTGAGACAGAGAGAAGATTTTGGCATCTACCTGAAAGTAAAGTGATGGTTTTGTTGTTGTTATTGCTGTTCTTGTTGTTGTTGTTGTCTTCAGCCTTCCTACCTTATGACAGGATTTCAACAGCAAACTAGGAATGTTCATTAAAAGCAAAACTATGTAGATGGCATTTCACAGGGATTTTTTGAATCAGTGAGCTTATCACTGATTGGAAGTCACCCTTCTGCATGTGTGAAAGTCCTTATTTATAATTTAGAATAGATAAGAGGGGGAAGAGCTGGGCTTCATTTTTGCAGGCAGAAAATACAAGCTACTAGCCTCTTTCATATGTTTTGTACATAATTCCTTTACTCAGTGACCTCCACCTTGACAAAGTGAAATGGTTACAGGAAAAAAAATATATACAAAAATCAATTTCAAATGTTTTACTTTGGCATAAAACAATACCAGCAAGGGAGAATTTACCTCCCTCTAAGGCTGGAAAGAGCTCTCAGTGGACTCTTTATCAAGTTGCATCACTACAGCAGGTTCTGTCCTTGCTGACACTGCATCCGCCTGAAGCAGCTCCAGCCAGTGCAGTGGTGGGCTCTGCTCTTTCTGACATAATTATCAGACCAGTGTGTCCTGTAAATACTTCAGATTAATCTTCAACATTACAGGCTTAGAAAGAGAAACCTGAAGTAGTGGGCTTTTTTCACAGGCAGCCCAAAACTGGAAGAACGTCCTTTTGTGGCAGGCACGTTCTGGGCCTTGGAGTTTCACATTGCTTGCTCCCTGATGAGGATTATATATGTTCACACCTAGGAAAAATGTTCCTCAGTGGCAAGTAGCAGTGACCCTAAAATATAAGGTGGCTTTCAAACCTAACTCAGGCTAATTTTCTCAGGTCTTCCTGAGAAAATAAAAACAGTGGATAAATAAGAGCTGTAGTTGATGTGATAGCATGGCCACAGCATCTGGATGGTAAACAGCAATGCAGAAAGTGAATCTGGAGGGGCAGTGCTCTGTAGAGAGCTGTTCTTGGCTTGGCTGAAATAGTGTTAATTTTGTTCCTAGTAGCTGATATCGTGTTGTGGTTTGAATTTAAGATGAGCACAACCTTGATAACACACAGAGGTTTACTTGTTGCTAAGCAGTTTGAATTAAGTCGAAAACTTTTCTGCCTCTCACTCCCACCAGTGAGGGGTCTGGTGGGCACAAGAAGATGGGAGGGGACACAGCCAGAACAGGTGACCCCAAATGACCCAAGGGGTAATCCATACCATATGGTGTCATGCTCTGTATATAAACTAGAGGGAAAGTTGGGTGGGGGGCCTCTGCTCTGGTACTGGCTGGCCATTGACCAGTGGGTGGTGAGCATTGTGCACCACTTGTTTTGCATATTCTGGGGGATTTCTCCCTTCTGTTCCTATTCTATTAAACTTTATCTCAAACTACAAACTTTATTTTTATTTCCCATTTCTCTTCCCCATCCCACAGGAAGGAATGAGTGAAGAGTGAATGAGTGGCTGTGTGGTTTAGATACTTGCTGGGTTAAACTATGACAAGAGCGTTTATACTGTCCTTGCTCTCACTGAGTGAGAAACTCATCTTTCATTAGTCCCTGTCTCCTGACAGTCTGCTAATGATGCAGAAAACTGTTTGCTACCTCCTAGCCAGAAGGAAGCTGAAGCCTAAGGCAGATTTTCTTTGTCTCCAGCAGTGGTGCGAACAAAATGAACAGTGCAAGAGGTTGCATCTGCCAGAGCTGCTGGTTGCTCCTCTGCATCGACTGACACGGTATCCCCTCCTCCTCAACAACATCTGGAAGAGGAGCACAGACGAAACAGAGAAAAGTTTTATCCAGTCACTTAAAGAGAAAGTGGAAAAGTCTATAAGTAAGTAACAAAGGTTAAAAGTCAAGCATGCAATTACATATTGGAAAGTTTCGTGGCTTTTCTGTGCATGTCTTTTGAAGTGTGAATTGGTCAAGTGTCTTCGCAGAAAACCAACAAGGAAGTCTGTGCCTTTCTACAGTCCTGACCCTCATTCTGTAGGGAATGATTTGGGCTACCTTGTGCTGCCAAAGCCTCTCTGAGCAATGTCACAGGACTCCCAAATCAGTGAGTCACTTGTATTTTCTCAGAATCATCTGTAGTGACAGGCAAACAATTAAAAGCAGATCTCAAATTGGAACATATAAAGAAAGATCTCAAACAAAGAAGTCTTTCAGTTGGATTTATGTCTAAGGAGGATTTTTTTAGAGCTGATCCTTAATAGGATAAATTTGCACTCACAAGGGGAATATTATGTCCATGACCTTTCGCTAATGACAGGGTCTTACAGTTGTAGTAAAGTTGTCTCAGCTATAGACTTTCTCTAGCTATTGCAGAAAACAAGTGGCTGGTCCAGATATTAATGTTTTCCCTGCATTTTGTTTTAAATATATAGTATTTATATATTTAACATATATAAGGATAGCAGTTTTAGGTGTGGCCCCAAAAGACTATGGGATGTCTAGAGAGTATTACTGGCATAATAAATAAGTCCTTCCAGAAATCAGACACCTCCAGATCAAGGAAACTAAAGATAGAAGGGTGACCCCTCTTTACTCACAGACACCTGACAAAGATCTGCCTTCATTTTTTGATCAGTGAACCAGTTACATAAAGAACAGTCATAGTCCAAGCATTTCCCTTCTGGTTAGGAGGTATGGGTCTGAAACTATTATCTGCGACATCACTCCACCCAAAAACTTGAAATTTAAGTTGCAGGTCCATGAAAACTTTTCCCATAATGGCCTTGAATCAGCAAAGACACAGTCCCCATTTTTCACATTTTGAGGGACCCCCATCTCAGTCACTTCTGGTAACACTTCCTCTGAAATTAATTCTCATTAATTTCAACAGTCTTTTTATCAGGCTGTATATAATGAAAATTATTTTTCTCTCACTATACCGACAGTTTCGAATAACAGGACTTTTTTTGAAGACATTTTTAAGATTATAGTTTGAGTTTTATATGATTTCCTGTTCCCCAGATTAGTAAACACAACCTTTTCATTTAGCAGTGAATTTAAGCACCTTTGAATGCATGAATTGAAATTCTGTCCCTGCTGATCTAAGTAGAGTTTAGGCAATTTTTCAATGAGATCAAGATTTCATCTGAGGCCTCACACGTGAGGTACTTCAGCTTTCACTGGAGAAAATCAACATTCAGCATCTTCTAAAAACAGGACTGCTTTTGCCAGCCCTGGCAGTAACTGGTGTTTCACACATTTCAGGGGATCTGGAAGGTAAAGTCAAATGGTTGGACAACTTTCAGAAGTTCAGGCAGCTGCAAGAAGTTATAATTTGGCCTCAGGTCTGGGATCGTGACAAAAGGTTCTTTGTCCCAGAGGTAAGCAGATTTTAAAGAGCCTTTTTTTTTTTTTCTAGAGGAAGGTTTAGTTTCCTGTCTGTCTTCATAGCGTGGTCTAAAGTTGGCTGGTTGTCTGTATTCTAGTTAGTGGGGATGGCTCTGCTCTTACAGGAGCAGCTGCAGCCTGGGCACTGCAAATGCTGTAGCTGAACACACACAGTGCCTTGGGTGGCAGCATGGGTTGCTCTCAGTTAGCAACCAAGAGAGGGCAATGATAAAATCCAGGGGGACTCCACCATATTTGCTTTTAGGGGACAGGATGAAATAGGATAAATATAAGTATTATCACCATTTAATAAAGTAGAAATTATTTGCCTCTTTCACTTCTCAAGCTGAGCCAAAGAACTTTCCATTTACACTTAAATTACATTAAAAAAAATACACAGCATACCTGGGTGTGCACATTTCTGCTGTAGTTACTCCATTACCCAGACAGACTTTAACCAGCCCTATGGTAACATCATCAAGTGGGTCTCATCTCAAGGATTATGTCTGTTTACATACAGGGCTGAAAACACTATTAAACTCAGTTTGGAAAAATAAAACCCAGCTTAACATTTCAAAAGCATAAACACATTTAAGCAATAGCACTGCTGAAGAAACACAGGCATGCTCGGTTATCAACTGTGTGATGTACTTAGCCTGAGGTAAGAATACACATATGCTCATCTTGTTTAGCTGCTGGTAGCCTCCCAGTTCACCATTCATTATGCATGATTCCCCTTTCTCTCTCTCTCTCTCTTTTGGGTCAAGTGTTTGAAGCAAAACTTAAGAGAAAACAGCAGTGAAAACATTTTGTCTTCAGTGAACAGACTTCTCCTTCATGAAGGGAGGCTGATGCTAGCAGGTAATGTCCCTGAATCTCCTGGTGTCCAGAGATAGATTAACAGAATTATACATTGTTATGGCAGGTCCAGAATGAACCTCTGAAGGTGCAGGAAAGCAAAAGCAACTGTATAGTTTATCAGAGAGAGACTGAGATACAGCAAAACTGCCAATAGGATGAGTAATCTGTATGACTGTTTATTGTTCTTTCTCTTGGCAAGCAAGTAGTTGTTTAACCAGAATGAGACAGCTGCTACAAGATACAAATTTAGTAGCCAAAATGACTGAGACATATGATTTAGTGCATTTGAGAATGCAGAGTGGAGGATAAAGAGTTGTGAACTATACTGGAAACAAGGCTTCTTTGTTAAAAGCATTCTGTAAGGTACAGTGATTCATAGATGTGCCTCATCTTAGAAGTAGCAATTCCTTAAAATAATCACACCATAAAACAGATTTTTTTTTTGTTTTCCTTCTCAGAAAGCACAAGACTCCTTGACGTGTACCTCTTTCTATTTGATGACTTCCTACTAATTACCAAAATTAAACGTAACAAAAAGGTAATAATGTCTAGAGATATACAAGGTTGCAGTTGTTATATTTTTTAGCTTTTGGATGGATTTTGAATGTACTTTGGGAGATTGATCTAATGATAAAAATACAAGATGACTAATCAGCATGAAGAACAGCTGATACTTCCTTATGCGACTAGCAATAACACTGATTCAAAAACCTGCTTCTAGGCTCAGTATGGTACAGGAACACTGTTACAGGCAGAATTTACATTACAAGACCTTAATATCTTCCTGATGTCTTTCTGATGTGCTGGATTCCTAAACCTCAGAAAAGTTTCAGGAATGTAAGACTTTTTCTAATGGTCTCTGCTACCTGAGAATTTTTTATCCCAGAGATATCAGAACTGTTGGAAAGAAGAAAAAAATTAAAAGAAAAAAAAAAGCAGGGAAAAGCTAAAATGATGGAAGATTGGTTACACTGCTTGTTGTCTTCTCTTTGCCTTGATTTCCCCAAATTTAAAATTGAGATATAATGACTCCTTTAAAGAAAATGTTTCTTCATAAATGATTCTATAGAGTTCTCTAAATGATAAATATCTGTATTTAGACACCAACAGAAGAACAAGATGCCCTGAAATTCTTAAAGCTTCAGTGTAGGAGTGCATTTAGCTAATTAAGTTTATGAAACTGATGTAAAGTGAGTCTAAATGAACCTGTGATAAATCTCCTAGGTTATTAAAAAAAAAAAAAAAAAAAGAAAAGCAGAAGCTCTGCTTTAGAGAGAAAGGACATAGAGAAAGCATGCAGAGAGAGGTTTTAGACTAGCAGCACCATCCCTTAGCAACGGGGTTGGTGAAGGAAGCAGAAATTCAAGGCACATGGTACCCTAGGCAAATCTATTTGATGGTTGTCCCACATACATGTGTTGGTGAACTTTCTGTGAAGGGCTGCAACTCATCTGGAGCTCCAGGAATTCTGTCTTGTGCATGTACATAAGGGGAGATGAGGAAACTTACCCCTAAGGAATGGAGAAAAAAAACTGCTATTAAAATAAGGAGGGAAAGGGGGGAAATACTTTTGGAATGCCTATGACTGTCATCTGCATGTGGACTTGTATTGTGTTTCTTTTGTAGCTTTTTAATGCAAAGTGTGACCTTGCAGGAGAGTTCCAGGTATCAGTCAGTTTTTCAAAGATTCCTCAGGCAAATAAGCTGTGTATCTTTGATAAGAGAAAGCACATTATTTAGAGTTGTTTAGTGCCTATACTTCATGAGTAGATGATTGACAACTTGCTAACCAACTTCATTTTCTCTTCCCAGAAATATGGAGGCTCAGACACCAGCTTAATCCCTGTCTGTCCTTCCCTCACTCCTGAGCTACAGTCCTTCATAAGAGAGGGGGGATTTTGCACAGTCCTAGACCAGCCCATCCCACTAGACAGACTCATACTGAAAAATGTTGAACCCATCCAAATTACAGGTATGTGCCTGCATGCACTTGAACACCTTCATAAACACCATGTCAATGCAGTGTGTGTGTGTGTGTGGTAGCATAAGGACAAGCTGCTGTTTACCTACAAACCACCCCCAGATGCCTGGGGTGCAAACACTGGTGCCTCAGCACTGCCTGGTTTCACAGCTCTGCTCCTGCTGTGAGGCATGAGCTGCTCACAGCCTTAGAATTCACAGCCCACAGCCCCCTGCTGCCAGCAGTGACTCACACACACACCAGTGACTGTCACATATTATCCACTCACCCCAAAGGAGGTATCAAGATTCCAAATACTTCTTTCTCACAAGCCAAGTATTTCCTTGTCCTAATAGGCTCTATCAAACTTCTTTTCCAAGAATATTTTCAGTTCCATACTAGTTATGCAGCGTTTTTTTCAGCTGTACTGCTACATTGTTCTCCTGGGTGTCCTCCCACATACACAGCAGCCATTCTCAAGGAGGCTGGAGAGATTTACCTCCTGCTACTGTTCCTATTCACATCTCCACCAGCTCTGAGAGGATGGAAATCATGCAGCATACATTAATGCTTCCTTGCTCTCAGATGCCCAAATGCATCACTGGGGAATATGCCTCCTATCCCTGCTGTTGCCCAGTTGGGTGTGGAGTGAAGGAGGGCTGACTGCCACAGAGAGCGACCAGCCTTACCCTGCCAAAACACGGCTCCTGAAGTCACTAAATCAGATTCTGGGCTGGGGAGCAGGCATGAAACATCAGGCCTCCCCGTGGTCTGAGGCACTGACACAGCAGGCTCTCACAAACCTCACCTTGGTGGTGAATGGTGCCACATCCAGCTGGTGGCCAGTCACTAGGCATGTTCCCTAGGGCTCAGTATTGGTGCTGGTCCTGTTTAACACCTTTATAAAAGAGCTGGATGAGGGGATTGAGGGATCCCTTAGTCAGTTCATAGATGGCATTAATTTGGGTGGGAATGCTAATCCACTGGGAGGTAGGGAGGCTCTGCAGAAGGATCTAGACAGGCTGCATAGATGGGTTGAGGCCAACTGCAGGAGATTCAATAAGGTGAAGTGCTGTGTGCTGCACTTCAGTCACAACACCATCATGCAGCCTTATGAGCTTGGGGAAAAGTAGCTGGAAAGCAGCTCAGAGGAGAAGGACCTGGGGGTGCTGGTTGACAGCCAGCTGAGCACAAACCAGCATGTGCCCAGATGGCCAAGCAGCCCAATGGCATCCTGGCCTGTATGAGCATAATGTGGTCAGCAGGACTAGGGAAGAGATCTGTACTTGGCAGTGGCGAGTCCACACCTGTGTCCAGTTCAGGGCCACTCACAGGACATTGAGAATCCAGAGTGTGTCCAGAGAGGAGCAGTGAAGCTAGGGAAGGGTCTCAAGAGTAAGTTCTAAAAGGAATGGCTGAGGAATCTGGGGATGTTTAGCCTGGAGAAAAGGGGTGACATCGTCACTCCCTACAGCCACCTGAAAAGAGGCTGTAGCCAGGTGGGGGATGGCCTCTACTCCCAGGCAACCAGCGATGGGACAAAAGGAAATGGCCTTAAACTGCACCAGGAGAGGTTCAGACTGGACACTAGAAGTTTTTCACAGAAAGAGTGCTTAAGGATTGGAACAGGCTACCCAGGGAAGTGGTGGAGTCAGCACCCCTGGAAGTGTTCAATAAATGACTGGAGGTGGCACTTAGTGCTGTGATCTAGCTGACATGGTGGTGTTCAGTCAAAGGTTGGATTTTGGAAGTCTTTTCCAGCCTTAATGATTCATTGATTTAGTCTAACACTACCAAGATCACAAGAGCCTCCTGCATCAAAGAGAATGAAAATAAATACAAATCTCTGGGCTCCAGGGTGATCCTAATCCTAAAGACTTAGAGAGCTACAGTGCTCCGTGAGAAAGCAATAGATATGGAAAATAAACCTACAGTCTGTAAAATATACGATAACTTTGAAATACATTCGCCCAGACTATTTAGCATTCAGCATCAATGTTGAGAGGATATAAAGGTAGGCAATAAAAGGCAAATTACTGAAGACAAGATAAGGGGATGAACACAAAGAATAGTAACCTTTTTTAAAAACTTTTTCCAGGCACTGTTTGTCTGCCTAATAAGTTCCCTCTACCAAACCAGCAGAAATGGAGCAAATGTATCTCTTGCCTGCAGGGTGGAGGGGAGGGCAGCCTCACATCCTATATAAGCCCAGGCTGAATGCAAGGCCAACAGCTCCTGGGTGCTGGAGAAGGCAGTGCAGCCACCCTTTAGTTTGCACCTAATAGATTTACCATAAAAACCATAATGGAGATGGAAATAATATTTTTGGATTTTTTTTTCCAAGTCAGCATTTTCCATAGAGATTCCTAACCAGGATATCTCTATCTCTGTGATCCAGCTGCAATAATCAGAATAGAAAAAGCTGCCTTCTGCATTCCAGCCTAGGCTCTGTCCACTGGTTATTACCTTTCCCTGCAATCTTGGCCTCATTGCTTGACTTCTCTCCCGTATATTCTTACCAGCTTTATTACAGCTGTAGCCATGGCAGTCTCTGTTGCTCACTTATAGTCTTATAGCACCTTGGAAGCCTTATCCTAATTACAGGACCCCTTGGGGTGAGGTACAATAAAAACAGTGAGAAAAATTACTATAGGGAGATTGCAGTTCAGATTCCCACCGTTCTGTGCAAAACAACAAGCAAACATTCCAATGTCAACAGAAAATGTCCCTTTGCAGGAGAAAAAAAAATATATTTGATATTGTCTGGAATGTGTGACCTTGGGGCATGTTGCCAATATTATCTGCAGTCTCAAAGAGACTTTTATTACTGGTGGCACTAAAAGATTAGTTAGCATGTTCTCAGAAAGTTCATGTGATCCATCACATTAATCAAAAATGAAATCCTGATTTTTGATCTAGCAAGTATTTTTGCATCCATTAGTTTGCTGAGAGTTCACATTACTTTGAAAATAAACAAAGCTCAATGCAAGTACTAGGAAAAAATATATATGCTGCAATATCCTAGAAATACCCTTTCTAGGGTAGCAGGCAGGAGGCTGATATTTATGTAGGATAATTCTTGTCCAAAGCCTTCTATGCATCAGTGAAGGGATAGAAGATAAAATGGTGTGTTCATAACACCAGGAAGGTAACCTAAAAGCTGAAGTATCTGCAAACACCATGACCTAGTACAAGAGATGTAACTTTACATGTAAATATAATAGTAGGAACCCAGCTCTGAAGGTTGTAAGCAGCAACACACCTTCCGATGAGAAAATCACTAGCTGACTTAAGCCCCCCTTTATTCCAGATGTGTGACATTGGTGTCACTTTGTCCCCTTGCAGAGAAATGCACTACCTGATGCTCGCAGTCATCTTCAGGAACAAAAGCCTGGCATAAAACAGAGGCAACAGAGGCTGCCAGCAGCCAAGGGCATCCCCAGAAGCACCAGCTCAGGCACATGCCCAGGGAGAACACAAAGCCAGCAGCTAGTTTGAGTGCAGCCACTTTCCCCCGTGCCAGCCATCACACAGACTTACTTAAATAAAATTAAAATGGGACCTCTCTTTTAAATTTTTGGTATTTGTTTTTCTCTAACTTCAGTTAGGCCACATGGAAGGGAAATATTTCTTAATGATCCTCAGACTCAAAAGCACCTTAGCTGTACCATGATGAAGCAATTAAAAATAAAACAAATGCAAATGTTTTGAAAAAAGAAAGCTTCCTACACAACAAAATTAACTCACCCCGTGAAGGTCCAGTTGCCCTTTTAGAAATCAGAAAAGATGCTTACATATATAATTCCTTCAATCATAATCAATGTGATATAAAATTGGACTGATAGTTGTATAAGGTGCATTTATATCACTTCTTTGCACTTTTCCAGTCTTCAGCCTGAGAAACGCTTTTCTAATTCAGCATGAGAACAGGTACCAGCAGTGCATAGCAGTCTTCTTGCTACAAGCTCAGACAGAGACTGCCAAGGTAGGTAACAACTTTCTTTTCTTCTCTAATTACACAACAATGCTTTCCCTAAAGGAGAGTGGCAGCCTAAAAGTGCTCATACTGTGATAAGAATCTCTTACAGTTGTGACACTTGACCAAAACTAAAAGAAAACAAAATAACACCCCAGCGCTCTGGTTCACATATTTGTTATACAATTTTTGCTGCTGAACATGTTCCAGTTTTCTATCAGGGCTGATAGCAGGTCATAGTCTTGTTGAAAAACATTATCAATTCTCAATGCTAAAAAAAGAGATCCATTTTTTGTGTCACAGAAGACGGTCAGCCCCTCCAGAGAAGTCAACACCAAAACAAACCCCCTACACCCAATTCACATGCAGTAGTATTCAGATCAGAAACCTGTTTCATGCTCATCTATTCACAACATGCATTTTGCAATTTCAGACTGAACAGATGGTATGATTAATTCCACTGTTATATAAATTTACCCCTCATTTTCACACCATGTCACATTTCTAGTAACAGCACTGTGTATAACATCTAAAAGTGTGTCAGGCACTTTTCAGTATTTTGCTTTCTCATGTAAGTTGAATTTCCCTCTCTAATACCTAATGCCCAGAAATTTGACCACTGCTAATACTAATTCTTGCAAGTAAATGGTGGTAGACTTTTTCTAAGAGAAGCACTGAGTGCATTCTTTCAATTTTCAAGTTACTGGCTGGTACTTGGAATAGCTATCCACTCAAGAAGTCATTACTTTCTCCTGTTACTGAAACATGACCCTCCCTTTCCAAAACCGCCTTCATACCAGGGCTACCATCTCCTCAATGTCATAGAAACATAAAATAGTTTGGGTTGAAAGGGCCTTTTAAAGGTTTTAGTCCAAAGGATAAATCCTTTTAGGGTTAGTCCAATGTCTAATCATAGAAATTCAGAGACAACTTATTCGGGTCACAGAAGTTATCTGGATTAGCAGAGAGAAGGAAGTTACATATTTGAAATTATATTTCCATCACCCCCTGTCCTCATACCTGGATGACAGCAAACATAGACCTGAATGCTGTCAGCATGATAATAGAAACTGAAATTCAGTTGGCAGCACATGGCAGATTTTGGAGGGGGACAGAACTTGTGATACTGATAGGACTGGAGCTGTCTTAATCAGAAAAATGAGGAACCCAAACTTCAGGGACAGTATTAAACTAATGAATAAACATTATACAGAAAGGGGCGAAATAGCCTGCAACAAACTTCACCATTACAAGCAGAGCATTAAAATCCTGCCTGCCAACCAAAAATGGAAATATTCACTGGAAATCCCTGTCCCCAGACACAGATTTCAGTAGCCTGAACAACTGGGAGGGTCTCAGTTGTGGGATAATTCATGTTTCCTTCAGCAATTACGAGCACAAGCTTAAAGAGAGGATAAACAAAACTAAAAGCTCTGGATGTTTATGCATCTAACTTACTGGAAATTTTATAGGTTGTCTTTGTTTACAAATATTTTCTCTTGTTACAGAAAGCATGGATGTCACAGATAGAAACAGCAATCTCCAATTACACCACAAAACATGAAACCAAGAAACACACTACTTTCTGCTTCCCTGCTGAATCCTCTGAAATTTGATAATGTCAGCACTGCACTGACAGAGCCAGACTATTGTGGTGATAATATAGTTCTTTCTTTCAGAATGCCTTAGGTCTCTGAATCTAACATTTCTGACTTGACAAAAGTATGGTGCATAAGACCACACCATGTAGGAATAAATTGGAGGAGGGGAATGAGCCATGCAACAAATATATCGCTCCTAGATGCTCCTTTGCTTCACCTAGGGAAGGCTCTTGCCACCCAGGGAAGTTTTAACAGAGTTTGTCTTTTCCTAGAAAGCATGACAGGGAAAAAACCCCTGTGTTGGTATGGAGAACTCATCCACCACAGAAGTTTAGAAGGGTTATTGCATCATTCAAACTGTATTAATAAATTTCATTAAATTAGAATTGTGTAGCCATAGCTTCTGATACTTACGTGTCTCTAAGCACTAACCTGTAACATCACAGGATGTTTTTTGCATTAATGCTGAACGTGTGTATATATTTATACATATGTATGCATTTACCTGGTCCAGTGCTCTCCAGACACAGCCTGGCCACTGTGATACACAAATTCCTGCTCTGCCCCTGTGTCTATCATGGGCATGATTTTGTCACAGCTTCCTGGGAAAGGAACAACCATCAGGCTCCATGCCAAGTGGTGAATGTGTGAAGCAGGAAGGCAGAACAGAGTGCAGACAGACCTGCACCAGGGCATCACACAAGCTGCCAATGCCTCGCCACAACTTGGCTGACATAACTGTGCTCCATCCCCCAATACCATGCTCAGCTGCACACTGCATCACACCAAGGCTCACCAGAACCTCACAGCATCCTGAAACCAGTGCTGACAGGACAAAGACATTTTAAGCCCAGAGGACTCACACCTGATAGACTAAGGTCTGTGCATTGTGAGCCAGCAGAAGGGAGAGGGTATTTCAATTTGTGCACTTTTTACCAGAACAACTTTTAGCCAGGTCTACTCACTTTACCAGACAAGCAGTCACTCCTGGAGACCAGCATGTCTCCAAGGAATACAGTCCAGGGGAAGTATTTACACACAGGCTTGTCTTCATGGAGACAAGCTCAACAGGCTCTTCTGTGATGTCAAAGGTACCTCAGGAAGCAGTTGAGGCAGAAATTGGCTTCCCAATTCAAACTGCCTTTCAGAGGGGACCTTTCCTCTCCATCTTTCTCAATATCTACAAAGAGCCCCTTGCTTCCATATCCAAACATGGTTGGTTGGTTGTGCCTCCATAATTCAATACCAGCTTTGCCACAAGACTGATCTCCCATATTAACCCTCTGGCTTCTCTCTGCAACACAGTTCCACCCTGAAAGAGTTTTCCATTTCACAAGTGAGACCTTTATTGGTCTAAAAAATAAAACAAGTGCTACTTTTGAGTTTTCCAGTTATGCCAACTGTCCAGATGCATCGAACATGATGTTAGAACACAGCCAGTGACAGAAAGACTTTCATCCAATATGGGATACTCAGCAGCCTTGCACAGCTATTGGGAATGAAAAGACTACTCTGAATTTCACCTGTGGGGAAAAAAAACAGATTTCAAAACCAGTCATTATTACTGTGTCCTCAGGAATGTGAAAGCCTTTGTTGCAGCTCCCTGCAACTCTAAGAAACTGGAATATTTAGCTTGCTCTTACATGTGTGGCTTCCCTACAGCTCATTTGTGAAACTATATACCTACGATTTCAAAGTAGCTTTGCTGTCTGAAACGGGGCAAGGTAGTTTTGAATGACATAACCTGGTCTATTAGAAAGGTCTAATTTTTTATTATTATTATTAATAATAACCATTTCTTTAACAGATTAGAAAACAAAAATGACATTTCAGCAACAATTCATCATAGTTTAATACAGAACCCGTTGATGCATGGTGTCACCTTCCCATTCAAATCCACAGCCACCTTTCAGATCACGGAGTTTAAGAATTACAGTGGACACTGGACTAAATTCTTTCACAATGTAAGGCACAACTACATGATCACAAATAGTAAACACAAACATTGAAAATAGAACTTAAGAGAATAAAACTTCAATTAAAAAGAAATAAAACCAAAACAGACTCATGCAAAAAAATCTATCTACACCTACGAAGATGGTATGATCCAGTTTAGAAATACAGTACTCTGTAAGTAAAACTGCAACATAAGTCTTTTATAATACATTACTTCTAAATACCAAGTAAAAACTTATAATTTTTCCATTTATATTTTATACAATTATACAGAAATTAAGCTGTATGAACAATATTCACATCTGCAATAATAAATTGATCATTAAAAGTCAGAAAAGAGGCAAATGAGACCATGTAATTTGTGGCACGCATCCATTACAGAACACCATTCATCAAGTTCACATCTCGAGTACTGAAGAAAAAAAACACGACCAAATGAATGGTACATTTGGTGACTGAGGCTATCTGTATCCAAACGACAAAGCTCCATACAAAATTGGTTTTACCCAGCAGACCATAATTATGAAAGCTTGTGGTTATAATTTATTTCCTGTCCAGCAGCTAGTGTTTGCAAGGTTGAAACTATAGAAGTTAAAAGAATTTAAGAGAATTTACAATAACTTGAAACTGTTGGATATTTTCAAATCAACATTAAAAAAAATACTTAACTCTTTTCCTTTTTGGTGATAAACTTTTGCAATTTTGGCATTCACTATAACTTTTACATAACATGACAGTGAGAAAACCTTATTAAACTTACCTAATGTTTGAATTTCACATTGAGAGGTAGCTTAAATTAAATCCTGTGTAATGGCATCAAATGGGGGAGTGGGGAATGTGACTTTATTTTTGTTACTTTTTTCCTTTTCTTACAAAAGTGAATATTTCTATACAAGCAGCATTTTGGATATATTTCTATAAAAAGTTCTGGTATTTGCTAACCTAGCGAGACATTCTTTCAAACATCCCTTTTGTGCCAGGAATCAAGCTCTAGAGTGACACAATGGAGGACTCTGCCATAAAGCCAACAACAGTAGCCTGGACCTGCCAGCACTGACCTGTTGATATATAACAATGAACATCCTTTCCCAGCCCACCTTACAAAAAAAAAAAAAGCAGGAAATACAGACGAATTTGGTTTTAGTTTTAAGTTTCAGTCACAGGGGGAGGGAAAATTGGAAAATGTGCCTTCCAGGTTCCTGCTTTCATACCACATTGATTCAAAGGAGTAGCAGGGCTTCATCAGTCTCTAAATGCACAGACACTTCTCTATCCACTGCATAGTGAGTGCGTGGTATGTGGAGAGCTACAGACAATAGGCAGAGTTCATTACATTACCTAGTACCTACACTCTTCATTATTGTGAACTTAAGTGGTATCTAATGTTCTCTCTAAACATGCAAATTTTTTTATTCAGTGTCCCTTTAAAAAGAAACAGAAAAAACCACATTTCAGTGGCAGGACTTACATGCAATTATAGCTGTTTCTTAAAAGTACATCAATTTGGAGATGCTGTGTTTGGACAATAATTTTAAACTTATTCTAAAGGGGATACTGAGGTCAAGACTTCAAAACCAAAGAAATGGACAACTGGCAAGATCCTTGCAAATACATAAAACTAATTCTTTTTCTCATTTTGTAATCATAAAATTAAGTTCTACAAAGACATGCATGTGATGAGCATGATTTTGTTATATGTGCTCTCAGATGATGATTGTGTTTTTGGTAAAAGGAACTGTGAGTGCAATTCTCCTTAGGGCCAAATGTATACAGTGAAAAATCCAGCTGATTATAAACCTGCTGTCCAATGACTACAGCTAACACATGCAATGCACATGATGCCATTCCATTTACTGTAGATTCTCTTAGACAGCAAAAAGTGCACAGTGCAAATGACAGTGTTGTTTCCTAGTTCTCTGAGAATATGAGAGCAGGAGGGGTGGTACCTGGAAGAATAATTTATCTGTTTCAACATGCTCAAACCATGGTATCATTCTTCTTGGCATAGTTTAGATTCTATTTGAACTTCAGCTCCAGCATTTTTCTGTCCATCACTGAGTACTGGCCATAATTTTTTTTAAGTTTTGCAACAAGCATTTGTTCCCACTCCATGCTTAACTGACACTTAACAATCCAGAAAAGCAGTTGAGTTTTCCAGGTATCTTTATGAATGTCACTTCTCTTACATCTAGCATGAAAAAGCTCAATTGTTCTGGCTCATGTAATATAAACACAGAGAGGCTACTTCATGCTTCTGCTCCCAAATGCCTTCTTTCTTCATTAATAAGAAAGCTTTTCCAGTGAGGATTCACAAACAATCTTAATGGTCCCAAAGCCAACAAAAGTAGTTCCTCATCGTTCTTATGTACCTTGTGCTCCACACTCCATGGCAACTTGGTTACTTGACACCTTCCAAAAACAGAGGTAAAAACCCACATTTCACGCTCATTTCATTTGGGCTCGTACCAGACAGTGAAGCCAGCTGAAAAATGAGATCCTACTAAACCTCTTGCCTTTGTTGGAAGCTGCAGCAGAAAATTCCTTTTGTCTCTTCATCTCCAGACAGCAACTTTTCCTACTGTGACTCATTACTTTTATCCTCTTCATTCAACTTTTGCAGAAGGGGGAAGATTACATTAGGGAGTACATGGGGAGAAGAAATAAATAACAGTGAAGCAGAGCCAGCTAAGATCAAAAGCCTGCCATGCTGCTGACATGAGGCCAGAGTGGAACAGCAGGATTTGGCATTTGTGGGGCAAAAATGCAGGGGACTGTGGGTCTTTGACTGGGAAGAGAAGTGTTGTCTCCAGGAAGTTAAAATAATTTCTCCCCACCCTTTGTAAGACTGTCCTTTACACATTTACAAAAGCTTCTGTAGCTTGTCTCTGCCCATGAAGAAGTTGGTCTCTCACATTCTGCTCTCGAAGTAATTCTGAATGTGGATGGAATATCCTGCAGATGGGACAGTTTCAAGAACAAAGCCCACACTTCACTGTCCCATTCCTGATGCCATAGTAATGACTAGTAACCAAAGACTGCTTGAGGATCTCAAACCTACTGGTCTGAGTGCTGGTTTTGCCATTATTTTCAACTCTTCCTCTATAATGGCTGCTTCTCAGTGAATCAGAGCCATCTGCCTATTGCTAGGCTGTAAAAACATCACTGTACATCCTCCAGTTCCAAGACTCAGTCTCTTCTGCCATTTTATTAGTTTTCCCCTCTGTCCCTGTGTCTGCAGTCTGAAAAATCAGTGAATTAAACTGTTTTGCCTGGAATCCTTCATTTTACTCTGGTAAAAGTCACCAGGCTTTTTACTTGGTTTTCCTGTTACTTGGATTTTAAGGCAGTGGAACAAAAAATTCACATTCCTACTGAAACAGGCCGATCAAAACAGTCAGACTCTGCAAGCACATTGGTAAATACACAGCTTTTCACCTTCCAGT